GGTGACATTCCGAGCCATTTACGCACACGTTGCAAGCATGACATGCACCTGTCGGATGGTTATCGAAACAGAGGCGAATTGTGTTTTGTACCATCGCCCGACCAACACACCTCCGCACCATGGCCCGCGGGCGGCGGGGACAAGACTCGCCTTTCTCTGTCGCGCTCTCGGTCCCCGCTGCGGCCACGATGCCCTCCGCCGGGGGCAGGCGGGTACCCTCCCCGGCCATGCCCGTTGATTGGCACGCCTCCGCCTCCCTGGTACTCCCCGCGGAAGTCGGGGGGGGCTTCCCTGCCCATCTCCATGCGTCCGCCGCCGCCGCCGCCGCCGCCGCCGCCCTCGTTCGGGTAAGGCGAAGGCATGTGGTGATTGGTCGGCATGCCCCTCCCTGGCGGCATCATGCCTGCTTGTGGTGCGAAGGTGGAAGGCGTTCGGGAGGAGAGGCAGGGGGGATATTTTGATAGCTAGCAAGGCAACACTCCCGAGCAACCCGCTGCGAAAATCTCGAAGCGGGTGCTGTACTACGCTCTTATGCAACAGAGACGTATTCTCAGGCCGAGCGACAGGTATTGTTGGAGGCCCGCAACGACGCAAATGCAGGTAACTCGAGGGAAAGATGAGCAACCTGAAGAACAGAGGGCCAAGCCTAGCCTTTGGTTCGGGTCTCCTCGTGGTGTGGGCAACGGGACACACGAAGACGGAGGAATACTTGACGGAGCCCGAAAACAGCCTGGCCCTGTTCAAGGCCGTAAAAAACGAGGCTTGTCGCCCTCGCCTAACGCCGGCAAAATCGCGTGAAGCAGACGGAATAATCAACTTGGCCTGACAAGGCCGGCCACCTGGACAGGGACCACTACAGCAACAACATCCGTGAACACCTCACCTCCGCCTCCGCGGTATTCGTTACCCACAGGGTGCATGTCGCGGATGTGGACCTCCCTCTCGCGACCCCCGCCGCCGCCGCCGCCTCCACCGCGTATGCCTCCTCCGGACATGACAAGGGTGTTTGCGCCCCCGTGGCGACCTTCCATGGCCCTGTCCATCCGGGTTACCGACAGAGAAGACGACGCGCGCGACAACATGAGGGCCCGGTGCTGCAGTTTGCCTTTCGAAATATACATGTCGTTTCTCCGAGCTGCAGCAGCACCATTGCTAATTGCTAATCAAGACTTTCATGTTTCGTGGTGAGTGTGTGGCGTTTCGTGTATTGTTTTGTGCGTCATATAATGCTCGCATCGACCTCGTTAATCGGCTGACAAACGAAAGACATCAACTCAGTCTCAGTGCGGTTGACAACAGAGCCGGGGTGAGCGCATCCTGCGGGTGTTACACCTGTCTACCGTCGGTTTGGACGGTCGATGCGATCCAAGCAACAAAAAACGCGCAAAATACAAGAAAGAAAAACGCAACATTCTTCGTCTCACCGCTCACGGCTGCGGGTGACGCGCCGGCCGTCGTCCCTGCTGCCCCTACCGCCTCGCTCACGCTGCCTCGCCGGCGCCGGGTCGACGAACCTCTCGGCCTCCCTGCCGCCGCCGTAGGGGGGCGCCACGTCTCGGCCCCTGCGATCCCTGCTGCGGGACTTGATGCGCTTGCTTCGGCCGGGGCTTACGCTCCGTGAGCGCCGGCGCCGCCTGGCGACAAAAAAAAAAAACGTCGAGGGAAGATAACAGGCCGCGCGGAAAGGTCAGGTGTCGTCGTCATCGCCGTCTCCATGGGCTTTGAGGGCAATTTACCGTAGGTTGCATGAGATATCACACCCCCCGGACCCATTCTCGAAGCTCGATATCTCGGCAGGAGAATTAGTGACGGTGTCGAAAATGGCGGCATCGGAACCGTCTCGTCGAGAGTTTTCCGGAAACGCATCCTTTGATTTCGGCATCCTCTTCATCGTGGAGTAATCGGGCCTTGGAAATCGGTCCAGGGGGTGTGATACCTTATGCAACCTACGGTATATAGTAGGACAGCAACAACGCGTGTCGATTGGCGTGTAAGGGGAACGTGACCGCGTCATGAACCCGCATGACGACGTTCTTTGGAAGCACGGTCGAGCGTTTCGCATTTTTTTAATTATTCACGTGCACATAGTACCCGTTCGAGAAAATACCACGGCAGTCGAAGGGGATGCGTTAAAGTCTTTGCAGCAAGTGAGAGAACAAGCGGGTGGGTGCTGGGCTTGTAGTTGTTCATTGTTTGGAGGACGAGTTCCGCACGTGGATCCCTCGGCGGCTGGATTGGTGGGCCGTGTACCGAGACCTCGCACGTAAACTAGAGCTTGGTTGCACAAGGGGGTGTGGGGTGTGGTTGGGCTTCTAGGTTAGGGTGAGGGATAAGGATACGAAGCCCTCCTCTCTATTTCATAGATTGACTCTACAATCCTCCCGAAGGCAGTCCCTACAAATCAAGGCGAGCAAAGAATATGATGTGGCCCGGAAAACGCAGCCATATCACATCGGTCCGCAGCTGGACAATTGTGCGTTCCCTCGAGTAGACCGGTAACAGCCCAAAAATGGAGGCAACATTGGCAGCTCGGACCCACGCGGACCCACGGAGGGGGCACGAATCCACGTGAGGAGGAACAATTCTTCTCGACCTCCAATGTGGTCCACGACGGTGAAAGCAAGCAGGGGAGATCTGGAGGTGTCATTGTCGAAGCAATCAACGCGATATCGCCCGGCACTTGAAACTCATGCTGCACGCGTATCTCTGTGTTTCGTTCTGTTCCTCGCGTGACACACCGCTAGTGGTACGTCCACTTCTCACAAGGCGTAAGTCATTTTACCTCGCCCGCCTATTATTGAACATAATATTTCCAGCAAAACCGAGGACAACCAAGCACAGCAGTACATGTACTCTACAGACCCAGCCTCCACGCAAGAATCCGGGAGTTAACTCACGTCGGGCTCAAGATCGGGAGCATTTGAGCACTAAATATCAGCAAGTGCTTCTTGGAGAGTCTCTTACAAAAACAATGGAGTAATAAGTCGCGCTTCGGCTCTATGAAAATACCGCCGAAATATGTACCATGGATGAGATAGATAAAAAACACGCCTCCTGCGAAACACAACAGGTGCTTCATCAAGTGGCGGCGACGGCGCACCTCCCATACACAGATACTTGAGACATACTCCTTCATATTTTCGCGCGAAGCGCGAGAAGAAGGGTCGGAAGGCATCAAAGCAAGCGTGGATAGATATGGATGGAGCCCACGCCACCACAGAGGTCACCAGTGCACACGCCCACATCTCACCCGACACCACCATTCAGTCAAAGGATGACTGAGAGCTCTGTTCAGCTCTCATAATCATCAGCTACATGTAGCTGCTGCTGCTGTTGTTGCTGCAGTGCAGGATGGGTGTGCACTTTCTTTCCTGGCTTTCGCTGCTAGCAGCTGGCAACGGGCTCTATTGATCGCCCCCGATGCATGCTACGATGTGCATATTTGGCAGCCCTTGGCCTACAGCGTTGTGTACGACTCATTCGTCTCTGTTTCGGGGTGTGCTTCTGTAGTGGAAAGACCGACCTGGAGACAGACGTAAGGCAGACAGACCGCAGACAGATTGTTGACTTGTGTGCACTCGCATGTTCCCCTCACTTGCGCTGCTAAATAGCAGCGGGCCACGGGGCCTACAAAAATCTTGCGACGCCAACCATGATGTGTGCCTTTGGCCGGCCTTGGCCTTCAGCAGTGTGTAGGTCTCCTTGTCTGTTGTGGGGATGCGTCCGTGTGAGAAGCTCCAAAGATCGGCAGGTCGAGTGTAATGCAGACGAACCGCAGATTGACTTGCGTCGTCACTCGCTTGTGCTGCCCACAGCAGGCAACGGGCCGTAAGAGTCACACCTAACGCCTCCCGTGATGTGTGCCTTTACCTGCCCTTGGCCTACAGCAGTCCGTATGCTGCTGTGCTGGTTGTCTCGTATGTTGTCTGCGTCGTGTGTGGTGCTGCTGTCAAGAGGATTTCGGGGATTCTCCCGAGAGCGTCGTGCCCATCCCCCACTCATCCAATCATCTGTCTCTGCCTGACAAAAAGCCTTACAAAATCGACGTGTGTGTCTATCTACCCGGTTCTACCCCTCTAAAACGCCGGTATTCCGTGTCTGATGAAAAAATTGACGTGGGGATGGGTGCGCTCTGCCGCGGCGCCTCATGTATCCCAACATAAAAGTCCCGCGGCGGGTGGGACTACAAGTAGTCTACTCCTGAAAAAATTTGACTGCTTTCACAACACCTTCCGGTCGGATCCGTTGGATCAGAGCAGGGAAAAATGCACACCTCAACAACCCGATCGTTTCAGGTGGTTTCTGCGTTTCCACCTCACGACCCAAATAAAATCTCAGCGCCTTCGATCTGCAAAAAAGACAACGCAGCTCGGTGATGTTCAAGCTGAATGCAAGTGAGGGAAGTTTACGCGAGCCCAATTAGTAAAAGTCTAGACTAGTTGTCAACCAAAAATAGCGAGCGACCCAACTTCAGATGGAAAGAGGAAGTACTCAAAGCAATGTGGGACAACGTAAAGGCGTGACCACTACACGCCAGGAGTGCTTGCATCAGGCAATGGTAATCGCGGGCACAACGCCAAGCTGCAAAACTGCTGTAATGGACACATCGGGCCTACATTGCTGCTATCGCTCTCTTTCTCGTTCTTTCTCGTTCTCCTTGCAAAAGATGCTCGCACGTCCAACCACGAAGCGAGAGCAAACCTGGTGTTGTCACGCATACATACATACCTTGTTGATTCTCGGATCATTTTCCCTTCCCCAGTAACACCAACGTGTCGCTTAATTTAAGCCCGTCGGCTGGGCTATACGCGGGCCGGTGCGGACACGCGCGTTGTGTGTGGGTCAATGAGTACCTGTTGGGCATCGCAGAGCAGAGCACAGAGTCGCCTGGGTTGGGGGGTTCGCATATGGTACAAAACTATATCTGGTATGTGGAAGTTTTTTGTTTCAAATTGCGTCGACCTTCCGCATTTTGGTGCGACGCGCGCGACCCGATCTCATCTCTGCCTGCTCAATGATATGAATCTCATCATCCGCTTGTGCTAAGGGTGCGCGCGCCCGCATGCAACATAGAATCTTTGTGCATGCTTCTGTGATATCTTGGTGTTTCGCCATTCCAAACGTGGCGACAGCAGCAGCAGTGTAGTGTAGTCCCGCGCGCCAAGACTTGTTTTTTTCTGTTTTGTTCTCTAATAAATCTCCGCAAATCAGCACGTCTGTCGACGTGTCGCACGATCGAGGTATCGTGACATCGTGACAGTTAGCGAGGAAGCTACGGCCGCTGGGTTGGGCTGAAGTTGGAGATGAGCCGATCAGTCGGCGAGTTCCACCTTATGGGTCATCTAGGAGAGGGCTCCTTTGCCACGGTAAGGGAAAATCGTGTTTGAAGCTAACGTTTGCAAATGTGACAGCAGCATTGTGTAAGTCGTGTATGCATGATGCCTTCAGACGTGAAAATGCCTGCGGGTCCGCTCGGTACACCATGCGACATAAGTGCGCCGCTCGTGGCGATCGGCAGCGTCCATCTAACAGGGAAAGGGGGTGCTATCCCCTACCCCTTCGATGCCTCGCCCTCCCAAGTGGCTTCTGGAGTGCTTTGTCATGGGTGTGCCGCCGGGTGACGTGCCAACAGAGCGGTTGAACGATGAAAGGACGTTGCCATGTTGATGTTTGAGGGAAAGTGCTTGCACACATATATCGCTACATGTCGGCCACACGTAACCAATCTCCAAAAACGGGTGTCTGCTGCCGACACCATGTTTCGCTTGAACTCGCATGGCACTCGCTGTAATCGCAAGCGCTCATGAGCACAAACGCGGATTTTGAAGGAGGATCAATTGGTCGTGCAAGAGCCCGCTGATTGCAACTCGGTGTACTCGTTCGAGACAACGCCGTATTTTTCGAGTGACTGGCACCCCCCACTGCTACTAAATACGAAGATGGCTTTCTTATGCATGCAATATTCAGCTCGATTGCTCCACAACCCAGAGTGGGGGGGAGGACTGGCGGATGAGTCCCAGGCAAGCTCTCGGCTAGATATATTTGTCCAGAATCGGTCACCCTTTTTCGGCACCGCCCTCTCGGTTGTGAAGCGATCGACGGTGTTTTTTTTATTTTGTTAATATCACACAACAAATCCATCTCTATCTACAGAAATAAGTCTTAGGCTGAGTCTTACGGCGTGATTATTTCTGAGATTTTTTTTTTCTCTCGGGGGGGGGGGGGGGGCC